GATGGAGGGCTGACTACAGTAGGGGTCTCTTCAGTCTCCCCACCAGACAGGACATCAAAGAGAATATTCTAAGATGACAGGATAAATAAGTAAGTAAATAAATACATAGGCCTTCTCCTAAAACACTTTTTGCATGACAAAATATATGCAAAATGCTACTGGTGGATTCATGACTGCAAATTGAAGTCTAAAAACTGTCTTAATGAGCCACCATTAGATGGCAGTATTTACAAAAACAGACCCATCTCAAACTTCATTTTGTGAAGCAGTGTTATTTTAGTATAATTTTTTTAATACTATTTCAGTTTTTATTCATATTTTGAAATAGTTTTATTTTCACATTTTATATTTATATTTTAGTAAAAATATTTGTAATTTTGTGTTTTTGTCATTTTATTGTTTTTTTTATATTTCTAGTTTTTATTCTTTTATTTCAGTTTATTTTAGTAAATCAAGTTAAACAAGCTAAATGAAAATGTCAAATGTTGCCTTGCCAACAAGCCGAAATAAAATAATTGTTCGTATTTTTATCTTTTGTTTCAGTTAAAGTTTATTTTATTTCAAATACCCCAATGTTCACTTTGTTTTTTTGTTTTTTTTATTAATTTTTAAAATTAACAAATTTTAACTTTTTGAACAAAGCTCAGATACTAAAGTATCTTGGAAAGATGTAATAAGTATTAAAAGAACTACAACAACAAAATCAGCTATTTCCCCCATAAGCAGGTAAATCAGCATATTTTTCTACATACAGCTTCTCCAGTGGCTGTGGCAGAATCATCAGTAGTCTCTGGTTCTGTGCGCTCACTCTCGTGCTCAGATGGAGGGCTGACTACAGTAGGGGTCTCTTCAGTCTCCCCACCAGACAGGACATCAAAGAGAATATTCTAAGATGACAGGATAAATAAGTAAGTAAATAAATACATAGGACTTCTCCTAAAACACTTTTTGCATGACAAAATATATGCACATTCACAATATATGCAATAAATTATTAATACAAAATCAGGATTTGGAGGTGGAGGAGGGGACTAAGATGGGGTGGGCACTGGGCAAGATATGAAATTGCAAACTTTAGCTTCTTAACTTTGCTTCGGCTGAAGTTCTGTCATGACAACTCTCGGAGGGATTGGCATGGTAATGTACATGATAATGTTAATGTATTTGGTCTTGGCGGAATAGATCTGCTACGCTTGCCCATCACTGAGCTAGACCTATCGGACTGCGCCATCTAGAGTTTCATGCCAGAACTCTGTATTTAACTTGATATTGTATTTTTGTTTAATGCATGTGTTCATTTATTCATACAAATTAGTTTGAAATCAAACAATAAGCAAAGGCAAGCATGTATGTAGCATAAATGCTTAATGTAATGAATTTTAATTCATAAAGCATGTACACTCTTGTGAGGTAACGTAATGTGTATACTTATTCAAACAATATCTGCACTGGATTATACAGGGAATAGATTGAATGGATGGACAGCAAACTGACAACAATCCTTTACTTAGATAAAAGGTTCTGGCCCAGTTTAATCGCTAAGCCTTTGCATTGCATGTAAACTGAACTCTTTGCATTCATTGTGTTTTTGCAACCAACTGATCTAGTTTATGTTCTCTTTGTGTTGTGGTGAGTCACTGTTGGGTGTGTCACTGGATTTGTCTAAAACCCCAGAGGGCACAATACTTTTAAAGGAGGTGGAGTTGATTTAGAGAAAGACTCAAAGCGAGAGGCGAATCGAAACTGCATAGTGTCATTTTTCACAGTTCTTCATTTCAGTTCTTCAAACCTTCATTTCTCTGTGCAGTACCACTTACCGATTCCTCTGACTTTTCAGATGAGCTAGAGCTGATTGTTAGTGAGTACAAAGTCAGAGGTAGAGAGGGCATCATCATCTCTTTGTGGTGGGTTTCAGTGCTGCTCGTTTGGCTTTGTGATGGAGTCTGATGTGTCTGTGGAGAAACCAACTGCTGTGCTGACTGCAAACAAAGAGAAAGACCAGAGATGACAGACAGTTTAAATACAATTTAATATTAGGTCCATTAAACAAGACAATTATGCTAAAATGAAAATTCAGTCATCATTTACTCAACCTCATGTGGTTCCAAACCCATTAACTGCTTTATTCAATGGAACATAAAAAAAAAAGATTTTGGTTTCCCATTGACTTCCATTGTATAGACAAAAAATACAATGGAAATCAAGTAAGTCATACATGTTTGGACTGACATGAGGGTGACTAAATGATGAATATTAAAAATTTTTGGGAGGGTGGACAATCCCTTTCTCAGTTCCAAGTGATTTGGTTAGGAACTTTGGTTTGTATTTCTTGAATGCAAAGTCGCTTTGGATAAAAGTGTCTGCAAAATGCATAAATCTAAGTTATAAGAACAGCTAAATGGCCCACGTAGCTATTATTACTATGAACAACATAAAAAAACAGATATCTGATGTGAGTGTATTCTTACATAGTCTTTATTCTTGTCATCCTTCTTAAATTGTAGCTGTCTTTGACTGTAGTACTCCACCCACCATAAATTCATAAAGTTCTTGCTGGAATCCCTTAAAGATGACTCATTGGCAGCCTGTGGATCATATGAAAGGTGCCAGGGCTTAGTCCCACCCAGGAAGTGGACAATTTTTGCATGGTGGCCATACCTGCACAAAACCAGAATGCGTATGTTTCATACTTGTGTATGTGTTAAATGTCATATATGATTAGTTACTAAACAGTTCACAAATACATCACATGAGAAACTATTGGTATACTTAATAAGAGTTTGTTTGAAAACTTACTGCTGAAATGCTGGTAGATACGTGTAAATGGCACCAGCTGTGAGGTTGTACACAAATGGTAAATGCTTTCTGATATCTTTTACTGCCCAGTCACTGAAGAAAGTGTTTAAAACGCCCTGGTCTCCTCCTATACATGACACAACATGGCATAATAATGTCATTAATACATGTATTGGTAGTGCTAAATTATTGTGTAAAGAAAGAAAAAAAGAAAGAAGTAATCAATCAATGCTGCATACACTACCATTTAAAGTTTGTGGTCAGTAAGATTTTTTTTTTTTGAAAGAAGCCTTATGCTCATCAGAATTATAGTAGAATACAGTATGAAACATTAAAGGGATAGTTCACCCAAAAATTGTCATCATTTACTCATTCTCATGTGATTCCAAACCTGTATATGTTTGTATAATTATGTTGAACATAAAAGAAGATATTCTGAATAATATTTAAGAACCAAACTGTTGTTGGTCCCCATTGACATCCATAGCAGGGAAAGAAATACTATGGAAGTCAATGGGGACCATCAACTGTTTGATTACCAGCATTCTTCAAAATATCTTAATGTATGTTCAACATAAGAAACTCATACAGGTTTGGAATGACATGAGGGTGAGTAAATGATGACAAAATGTAAATTTTTGGGTGAACTATCATTTTAATACTACACAATAAAACAGTAATATTGTAAAAAAAAAAAAAAAAAATTTAATTAAAAAAAAAAAACTACACTTAGATTCCTCAGAAATCATTCCAAGATGCTGATTTGCTGCTTGAGAAACATTTCTGAATGTTTTCAGGATTCTTTGATAAATTGAAAGTTCAAAAGAACTGCATTTATTTGAAATCTTTTGCGATATTTGGAATGCCTTTACTGTCACTTTTGATCAATTGGATGCATCTTTGCTGAATAAAAGTATTAATTTCTTTCAAATAAAATCTTACTGAAACCTTTGAATGGTAATGTATATGCGCTTCTCTTGTTGTTTTTAAAGATAAAAAAAATACAAATGTGACAAAACAGCATTTGAGGCTAATTAAAGTTCCAACAGGCTTTGAGTGCATCCAATTTAGCCTGAACTTAAAAGATCTGAATGTAATATCAGCTAAATATAACCGTGTGATTCACCATCAAAGCTGCCGTGCTGTGCAGTGTGTTCCAGTATTTGGGTATGGGTATTCAGGGAGGGCCTAAACACAAATACCCCAGAGTTGAAGCAATCCGGCCAGCCTGGATCAGGAGCAGCAGACAATTCTTCATATTCAAACAGCTCATCAACATTACACAGTACCTGCGGCACAGAGTTATATTACAGCCACATTTTGGGACCAACACCTCGTGCATTATTCTCTAAAAGTCAAAAATTCTCTAAAAGGTTACCTGCACTGTAACATATGTTAATTTTATTATTGCCTATTGTGAATACAAGGCTATTAATAAAAAGTCTATAACTTTGCTTTTGGATATATATGTTCCTAAAGCAACAACTTTGAACACCTTGGTGTTTAGTAGCCATCGTTACTGTCAAGTACTCACAAGCGTGTCTGCATCCAAGAACACACACTTGCTGTACTGTGTAAGGGTCCAGCAGTGGAGTTTGGTGAAGGTGACCCCCAGTTCAGGACGTCGCAGCCAGGTGAGATGAGTCTTGTCTCTACTGTCCAACACATCTACCACTACAACTTCATCAAACACGTCCTCCAGGGCCAATCTAGGCAAATGCATAAAAATCAATGAGCCAAAAAAGTCAAAGACAATCCAAGACAGATGGGAAGCAACCGAAAATAAAATTAATGTTGCACTGAAAACTATTACAGACTTGCAAACGCATGGCAAGGTATAATTAAAAGCAGGGTACAGAATGGGATTGACATTAATGTTGTTTCAAAATGAATGGTGGAGGATAGTTACCCTCTCACCTTGATGCTCTGGAAACATTGGGGGAAACCATAGCCACTAACTTCCTTGATGTTCCATGCCTGCGCAAACTTTTGCCTACCACTAAACATCCCATGCTATAGGCATCTGTGGTGGCCAGGGTCACAAAGGCCTGAGCCTCTGAGAGACAGAGACAGATAAAACATCAGACAGAAATGGTCAAAACAGAGGACAAACATGCAGTAAATGTGCTTTGGGCCAACTTATATAATATACCATATGCATTACTAGTCAAAAAAAAAAATTTTTAGACACATTTTACTTAAACGATGATCTTATATTTTAACCAAACTTTTGTTTTATTCCTAAATGCATGAAATTATTATTATTATTACAATTTTTTGACAAAATGGACCAGATAGAATGAAAAGAAGCCATAAAATTATTTATAATAACCTTCCATGGTCACACTTTATTTTAAGGTCCAGTTCTCACTATTAACTAACTATCAACTGCAACTTTTGCCTCAATAAACTCCTAATTTGCTGCTTATTAATAGTTAGTAAGGTAGATGTTAAGTTTAGATATTGGGTAGGATTAGGGATGAAGAATATGGTCACACAGAATATGTGCTTTATAATAAACAGCCAATATTTTATTAATAGGCATGCTAATAAGCAACTAGTTAATAGTGAGAATTGGTCCCTATAATAAAGTGTTACCGGTTCCATATGAACAATTAAAAATACTTCTGAAGCATTTAGAAATCTTAGTAAATGTTAATTTCAACATTATTAAAATCAAGACATTAATCAAAAGTTGCATCTGTTAATGTTATTTAATGTTATTGAATAACATGTTATTGTAATGTATAATGTTATTGAATTAATGTTATTTAATCCATATGAATAATTAAAAATACTTCTGAAGCATTTAGAAATCTTAGTAAATGTTAATTTCAACATTATTAAAATCAAGACATTAATCAAAAGTTGCATCTGTTAATGTTATTTAATGTGCCTGAGCTAACTTGAAGTAACAATGAATGCATTTTTTTTTTTTTTTAACAAGGATTAATAAATACTACAACAAATGCATTGTATAAAAAAGTGTGACCAACTTTTGACTCGCATTAACAAGGAAGGTTTTCAAATACATGGCACACAAGGTCTCAAGTTTAACTCAATGACCCATCACAATCAGGCGCCAGTGTGAGCTGGTTACTGATATACACTATCTATCACCACTGTTGTCTTCCTGTCCAGTGTTGCCAACTTAGCAATTTTGTTGCTAAATTGAGCAACTTTTCAGACTACCCTAGCAACTTTTTCTTCCAAAAGCACCTAGCAACAAATTTAGCTATTTTTAAAATGTATTTGGCTACTTTTAGCAACTTTTGATAAGTGACTCAAATTTAGTAACTTTTAGCAACAAATCGACCTTCCTTTAGCAACTTCGCCTGAAAATTAGTTGGCAACACTGTTCCTGTCCCCTTTTTCATTGGCAGACAAAGGAAGCAGATGGCACAATGACACTTCACTGTATGGCCAGTGATTGAACTTAGAATGAAACAACAGGTTTGAAATGCAAATAGAGTGCTTAGTGCTTATACCGTTGGTGACAGCACATGGAATAAACAATTTCTTTCAAACGCCAATTTCATTTAAATAACCAAGTTTGCTTGAATAGGTCAAAACACATCACACATCCTACCCAGTCAATGATTTAAGGGTGCTCAATTAGGCTATATTTTTTACAGTCGTGTATGACATTTGGACGAAAACGGTATAAGAAGGGTGAACTTACCCGCCATCTCAGTTTTTATATCGCTCTTCTGAGTAATGAGGGAAATCTGTATGGAACAAGTGCTATAAAGCAAATAGCAGTGTTTAAAATAAATGGCAAGTCGATGAAACGATAGTCGTGCTATCTTCAAATAGCAGCGCACCCTCAGTCCATGCTCAATGACAAGTGAAAACTGTTAGGGGTCATTCAACCCCCGCTACTACGACTGAACATAGATCTACCGTTATCGATTATAGACTCATAACTTATTACGCTGAATACTGCAAGAAGGAAAACAAGCGCGGCGCTGAATGAAAGAACACAATGTTTCAGCAACATCAGAATGAACAATATTCTTAATCCAGAAATGGACAGACTTTATTTGGTTAAGAAAAGCAAATGCATATTTTAGACACTTGACACTTTATTATACATACAATAAATCATCAATCATAATTTCTCTGGATGGTAAAAGAGGTAAAATGGTAAAAGCATTACACACGCATTCAATGCAAGTTACTTGTGATTTTAAACTCATCCATCTTCAGCAGTGTTTACAGTAATAAGAGTATTTTTACCTCGTCTATTATTCCATTCAAATTTAAATATAAAAACGCAAATGATACAGAAATTAGTTGGCATCCCATCATTTTAAACTCATTACATTTTATTTTAGTTGACATTTTGCCACCAGTAACTCATAGATTCTCATCAGCATACACTCTGAAAAATAAAGGTGCTTCACGATGCCATAGAATAACCTTTTTTTCTAAATGGTTCCATAAAGAACCTTTCTGTTTCACAAAAGGTTCTTTGTGGTGAAAGAAGGTTCTTCAGATTATTAAAAGGTAAGAAAGAGATGGTTCTTTAAAGAACCTTTGACTGAATGGTATGGTTCTATGGCATCGCTGTGAAGAACCTTTTAAGCACCTTTATTTTAAGAGTGTACATTATCAGCAACCTCATCCTCCTCTTCCTCATAGTCTTCTGTTTGATTGGGAAAGAAGGCAGTTTCTAATTCAGAGTAATGCAAGAATGAACAAAAGCCTAACTGATGCATTCATCTGTATATAGACAGCTTGCGCTTTACAGAAGCAAGTCCCTGGCTTATGCAACTTGCTGTACTTCTACAAAAAGTGTAACAATTTGTTGTTTTAAAGTGCATTATCTTACATTGGCACTATCTGAAATACTAATCGAACACTAAAAGCCATTTAGTGACTCTACCTCCTCTAAAGATGAACAATTAGTTACACAAAAGATTGAATACAGAAAAAAAAATACATTCTTAAACAAAATAAAGATTAGAGTCAATACAACTTAGATAATCCAATAAAAAAAAGAAAGAAAAGAAAGAAAGAAAAAACACACTTACACTAAGATTCTTAAAACATTAGTTTTAAACCAGCCTTTCATGTAACAGATGTTTCCCATAGGGTTAGGCTCTCCATAGCTGTACATGCTCAGTGTGCATATATACTTTCAGTGTGCAGATCCAACGCAGTTACGATGAACGGAGCAGGTTGCTGAAAACTTTGGGAGAGAAAATAGTAAATGATGTTATCTACTAGGTGAGACTTGTATTGGAAAACATGAAATCCATTTAAAAGAAAACTGGTCAAATAAATAGAACTTATCTCCATGTAATGAGAGAAGGTTGAAAAAAAAAAACACCTTTGTATAGGACATGGTGTCAGAACTGCATTCTTAAATTCACATTAAGCTTAAAACATAACAAAGGAAAAATAAATAAATTTAAAAACATCGTACCTTGAGGATCAGACTGAGTACCACGGTTTTTGCCACTCTCTGGATCCTCCCCTATAAGAAAAGGTACTTTTTAGCTTATCCCATGATTTAATTTTGTTAAAGCCATTTTCATAAATCCTGTTACTAAAGTCTCATGTTCACATAACTTACACTTGGACAACACCAGTACTAATTGTACTCTTAGCCTCTTTTTAACACTCTCTCAAAAAACACGACTCTGGTGGGACTCGAACCCACAACCTTTGAATCACTTCTCTAAGTGTAGCTTAGAAGTCCAATGCGCTATCCATTGCGCCACAGAGCCACTTGTTGAGGGCCCAAGGGCTTTTGTAATACAAGCAAAGCAGTTAAACTGCTTACCACGTCATACGCCCAACCCCCACTTCCTCTACAAGAGCTGCTGCGTTAGTTGAGCTACCTCAAAATAACCCATGTACTGTGGCTCCCACAAGTGTTAACATACAGTTGTGAATCAAATGATTAAAATGTTTTAAGAGTAAAAAAGGTTGAAGTCTAAAGAGGTGTTTTGTTTTTGCAATCAGAACTGATCAAAAAAGTAAGCAACTTTTATAAATCAAAACCAAGGTAGTGCTTATATAAAGATTCTGATTCTTTCACTGAAGAGAAGTGCCAAACTCACCTCCTTGTACTTTGAAACACAGTTTCTTTTTCTGGTAAGCAAAGTAACTTGAGGCGGCACCGAGGAGAGCAACACCCACAGAACTGATGATGGCAGCCATGGCTCCGCCTGTGGGATACATTTAAAGTGATAGAACACACAATAAAAGAGAACAAGGGCTGGTTTTAAAATGCTTTAAGAGTTTGCAATTTTTTAAATGGCTTCATCAATTACTAATTAGAGCTTGATAACAAAGATACAGCAACATGGGAATATAACAAGAGGGCAAGCAAACGGTAATGGTTTTGGCCAGTAGGGGGTGCAACAGCTGTTTCCTATTCTCCACAGAAAACTTGGCAAATGTTACTGTATGTATTGTTCTTCAACTAGACCTGTTTTTAATTGAACAGATATAGCAACTAGTACAGTTTACAGCACGCATACAGACTTACTTAGGGGTTTGCCTCATTTAAAATCATACAGTCACTAAACCAAATGATTTAATTGTACTATAGATCAGAAAGAGAGAGATTCAGAATACTAAAAGTGAGTCACTACATATTTGAAATTGTGCAATTTACTAAGCTAGAAATGTAGTTGTTGAGTTGTTGTGATACCACTGGGGCATGTTATCCAGTGTAAACATGCTGGGCGTTGCCTGCTAAACTCATTTTTGTGTATGCACACACATCACACATGCAGGAGGAGGTCAACTGACTAAGCAAACTACTTATCGCAAAATAATTTCAGATCTGAAGCTATGCAGATTTGTCTCCTTAAACTTCAGGCAGCTAGATAAGAGGCAACTGCTAATTAGCTGGCAGGCCAGTGTTCTTCACACATGCTCAGTACATTCTCACTGTGCCATTGTTGATGGAGTTTACACAGCGAGATGTGCTGACAATTAAAAGAACAGGGGCCCGTTCTTCGTACGTTGCTTATTACATCCGAGATGAAATGTCACATCCAAGATGATATCATCGCGCTAATCGGGATCTGGCTAATTGGGTTCTTCTTTGGGCCGTGACTATGACATTAACCAAACAGAGGGAATTCTCATATTTCACTTTATTAAAAAGAATCACAGATACAAAAAAGCTGCTAAAATGTTTCAAGAAATCAAAGAGTGACAGAAAATAGCTACTTCTGTGGAAAAGAAACCAGACAAATCGTGAGCCTGAACAAAAACCGAGAACAAAGAACAAACACCAAAGAATGTCAATGTTATGAATGTCAAATGTGATTCCAATCATATTTTTACAGATGTGTCTCAGTCTGGATGGCTCTGGCTGCTCAAATAGGATTTCAAATTGTCTTTTGCGACATGCTGCATGGTATATACAATATATACTAGCCTCCTCCATTGCAGAGTTTTTCTTGTGCGACAGAGGAGTTTCGCAACTGCGACTTGACAGACACTTATTTGGAGATCGAGATGTCTGTTTTGAAATCTTCATCAAAAACGTGGGCACATCTGCGTCGTAACCAAAGCAACCCATGCAGATAAGTTGGTTATGTCTGGACACACAAATCTGATTTGATCACTTGCAATTAATAGTGCACACAGTCTGCTTGAAAATACCTGATTTGAGGAAAAATAAATAAAAATCTGATTTGCCTGCAGTCTGAACATAGCCTATGGGTTTCTCATGAAACCACTGATGGCAATAATGAGGATTTATTTTTAAGATTGTCTGTGTAATGAATCAGCCTCTTTTTACCTTAAACATCAAAGCGTCTGGGGTTAAACACATCCCTATAGCGCCTCTACTCTCTTTGAGATTTGGGAGAGATTAATCCCTGCATGCGCTAAGCTTTTGGTTGAGACCCACACACAGACAAACATTTGCCAACTTCAATCTTCTGGTACATTTTCGAGGTCAAGTAAGTCTAAAACCAAGTTTTAGCCAAAAGAGAATTGTGTGACAATGTTTCAGCCACAAACATTCATTCTCAAGAAATGGGAAATAAAATGGCAGCCATGAGCAGAGAAAAAGGAAGCGCAGTAATGGAATGCTCAACATGGCCTTGGGGTTAAGTCACTGTACCGTAAAACCGGCTGAGATGAGAAACTCCTCATTTGAGACATGCCATGCAAAACCAGTCAATCTGTTATGTCTATTGGCAAAAATTCAAGAGTGTGCCTTTCACATCTACATTGTGTAAACACAAGAAGAGGAATAAAGATGAAGGGGACATCCCTTTTTAAAACAAATGATATGATCTTTATTTCACAGCCAGAATCATCATTCATTTGTATACTTTGGCTTACACCTACTGCTTTTTTTTTACATACAAATATATAATATCAGTAAGTTGGTAAGAGTTGGTAAAGTTTTTAAAGTTTTTCATTGTTTTATGAAATAAATCTCTTATGCTTACCAAGTCTGCATTTATTTGCTCGTAAAAACAGTCTTGTGTTATGAAATATTATTGTAAAATATTACAATTTAAAATTATTTTTAACTTAAAATTATTCAATATTATATTTTTTATCAATTTAATTGAAGAATAAAAGCCTTACCAACTCCAAACATTTTAACAGTAGGTGTATAGGCTTATTATAATCCTTACCAACACACAAAGAAACCAGAAAACCCAGTCAGTAATACAAATAAGATTAATTCCTCATTGCCAAATGTCTAAATCAATACAATCACTAATCGCTTGATCATTACCAAACATGCATCTCATCCTTAAAAGACCATAAGCACCAGCAGTCCCAGCCTTACAACCAATAACTTTCAAACCATGTAAACAATGTGTGAAACCATTAAAAAACCCAATTCAAGCAAAGAAAGTTGCTATCCAGGATAGTTAGAGCTCTGCTTTTTCCTCTGTTACATTCAGAAGTTCCCGTAACTGCTCTAGCACGGGATTTACTATTTGATTAAACTGGGAAATCCAAGCACTGAGGCCTTCTGGTATATTATCGACTAGCATCTTGATAATCTGGAGCCACTGCTGGTTAAGATCTGCAACGACAGGCAATCGAAGCAGAGATTTAGGGCACAGCCACTGGCAGAATGAACAGGCAAAACAATCAGTCTTCAAATATACTAAAAGTACAGCATACGACTATTCACCAACCATTTACTATTCCGACACAGAAAACATCTGCTAGTGGAAAACCTTAACATGTACTGCCCACAATAATTGTTTTTGTCTGTTGAACCGCCCTGTCCTTATATAAGAACTGTGTGACAGTTAGTCATCAGACTAGTGCAGTTTTCATGGTCTTGCTCTGTAGGCTAAAATATTTTAGCTTTGTGGTCAGACTCATGAACTCTCTCATTCTTGATTAAAGAAATAATCTGAAGCAGGGGATATGCTAACTCCACTGGGAAAGACAACAACACTGGCAAGTAAACCAAGCTTCGGAAAGGACAAACAGCTAGAAGTGAAGTGAGGAACAGAGTGAGTGAGAGCTAAACAAAGACACTTCCCAGAGGCACTCATTTTCATATATTTCGGTGGACTCCTTAGGTAAACTCCATAACAACCTTCACTTTGTGGCCGACAGTTTTTCCAAAACAATTACTGATAGATGGACTTAAAACCTTAAGTACAATTTAAATAAAATGAATAATGCTTAATATTTACCTTGAGGTTGATCAGAGGCTCCACCTAATGAGAAACATAAATTAATTTCAAGAAAAATTTAAAAATCTTACTATTCAAGATTACAAAATAAAAATGAAAAGTTATTGCAAGTATTTGCCATAAATGTAAGGAAATAAATACCATTTTCATTAGATTTAGGAACATCTGCTCGCCCTTAAAGCAAAACCAAAAACCACAGTCAGATTCATTCAAAGCACTGATGTACTTCATAGAAAACATAATAACCAATGCTTTCAGGTTTAGGTAATTGTGACTGCATTTGGGGCTTGCAAATGGGTTGGACTTGAAACTTGGCTAAATCGGAGTCATAGAAACCTAAGAAAACCCAAAACTAAGAAAAAGAATGATGCAAACCTCCACTTCGGCCTCCATCGGGCTTGTATTCACCCCCTTCATTCACATCAAAGAGGTCTTTGTCATCAAAAGTTCCACCACCTTGATAAAAAATTAATGCAAAGTTTCATGAGAACAGCAGTGTAATAGACTTTTTAAAGTGTAAAAAAATACACTATTTTTAACTTACACAATTTTGTCTCTTCACTGAATTGAAAAGGACACTAAAACAATTTATGTGCACACATTTTATCAGTCGGACACCGACACAAACACTTAAAGGAATCTTGGTGTTCATGTGTTTCTTTTAATGACAGCATTCAATATACCAATTGAACAATTATTTGAACTTTACATTGAACTAAACATCGGAACATTTCTTTTTATGACAATTATCTACAAAGTGTGCAGCTTTAAAAAAACGCAGATATTTTTGTCTGCTTTTCAGGTGGTTGACGCAACATTTTCTGATGCACGCTCTCTGTCCGCTGGAGGGAGTGTGTTCACCTGTGTGTGTGCGTGCGCACGTTTGTGTGTGTGTGTGTGTGTGTGTGTGTGTGTGCACGCGCACGCATCGGGGCGGAACTCCGCCGTGTGCGATACAGAGAGCAGAGGAGAATTGTAAACGCGTGACCATGTAGAGGCAGAAATGACATGCCGTCTTGTAAATAAGATAAATAACATAAGGCTATTTAGTTTGTTTAATAAAAGAACAAGGTATAGACCTGTTTTATAGGAAAGGTAACCTTAAATGACTTCTGTTGTGATCTGGCGCTATACAGAAAATAAAATTAAATAAAATTAACTTGGCACTGGGAAAATGGGCATCCAATGACCCCTTTAACAGGAAGGAAGATCTACAGGAGCAGGGTTAAAGAACCCTGGTCTTTTCCGAGTAATTAAAGACAGCTCCATAGCTCGTCATTTGACCTCTGTTGTACTTTGCCTCTTAGTTGCCGCTTGCAGCTATATTTATTTGTTTTACTTAGTTTAACACAACTGTGGCTGTCACAAGCTGTCATGTGCGACACTGTTGTGTGTGTGTGTGGGGGGGGTTAACAATAGGTGATAAGCCTATGTGTGAACTGATTTTAGGCTAACATTGTAGCTCTACTTGTGTTTTGCTCAATATGATATTAAGTGGTAGATCAGTGGGCTTACTGCAGTTGTATATCAAAGTAAGATTTTACTTGCTACAAAATCTTTTTTATTTTATTTTATGTTCACTTTTTCACAATAACAGTCATTACATTTACAGTTAAGATCAAATTACATTGTATTTTGGACCTCTGTAAACAACTTCAAAAAACATTGCAATAAATAAATTCTTTATGTAACTGAAGTCATGCATTATTATTAAAAACAGACAATGTGCACTCCATTTTTTTCTCTCTCTCGTAAACATAGTAAAAATAACCCAGAAATTACACCATTACAAGACCCTAACAAACAGATGTTGGCAGAAACATACCAGTTCCTCTCTCTTTGGGTGGGACCACAGGCTTTTTGGGCTCAGTATCTGGAAAGAGTGGGGAAAAATACAAAGAAAACGTATGGCATAATCTGTTAGTCTTTCAAATCATTCTAAATAGCACCTTTAAAACAAGAAAAACAGGAAAGCTAATAGCACTGGTAGTAGCCATAAATAACAGCTAATTGTAGCTTTACATGACTATTTAATGAAACACATTAATACCCAATATCTATTTTTTTCCTTAAAGAAAGCAAGAAAGAAAATGTAAACATAACAAAAATGCACACTACACACAGCCTGGAAGTTCCAGAGAAAATGCAAAAACACTCATTTTTACCTGAACCAAGTGCATCCGACAGATCGAAGTCACCTGAGAATGAAAACATCATGTTAGTTTTTACATTGGTAGCTTGATTACTGTACAAAAATGAAGTAACACCTGATTTGAAGTAGAAACTAATTGACCTACAGTGACGTGTATGCATATGTATATTTTACCTCCAGATGGTTTCTTTTTATCTGCAAATAAAATAAAAAAGGAACAATGCAGTACATTAATTGTATTAAAGCACGTATTTACAAACAAGACAAAAAACATAAATAAATTACCTTAAATTAGCTCAATAAAAACATCCAAATAAATGCACTTTGGATCACTTAAACATTACTATATAATCTGGTAGCATTTCATTTAACAGTGTCCTTGTTACATATACTTACTTTCAACTAACCCTAAACTTTAACACTAACCCATGTTGCTAATTACGATTACTTTAATATACGATAACACTACAGTAAGGGCACCTTAAAATAAAAGTGTAACCCACAAACTTTACACATAATTACATAAACACCTCAGTATAATGTTCTCTTACCATCTTCTGATTTGGGGGGAACCACTGCAGGTTTTTTAGGGTCTGTGTACAACAAACAACGGTCATAAAGTTTTTTCATTTTGAATTTAGGGTAATTCAAGTTTAGTTATTAACCTGAAAACCAAGGCATGGTGGAATTTCAATTGGCATAACAGAGGAATTTACTGAACTGCAATTTAAAGAAATTCAACTGCATGCAGCTGCAGAATTTAATTAGTCCAATTTTTCCACAAAGCCATTACTTTTTTTTTTTTTTTTTTTGGTAATTACAAAATTAAATTAAAAACAATTCAAATCTCCAAAGGTGGTGTTCATTTTGCCATGCAGTGCTACAAAATGTCCATCATGTTTAATTAGTCCAATTTTTCCACAAAGCCATTACTTTTTTTTTTTTTTTTTGCGTAATTACAAAATTAAATTAAAAACAATTCAAATCTCCAAAGGTGGTGTTCATTTTGCCATGCAGTGCTACAAAATGTCCATCATGTTACAGAGGGAAGAGGGAAAGCTTATACAGGACATTTCAAATTAAAATACATGAACAAATGAGGACATGAATAAACAATGAGTTTAATCAATGCACTGATCATCATATATTCAGCAGGCCCTAATAGAGGAAACCACAAAAGTTTGATAAAAATTAAAGACTAACATGACCACAATTTATTTCAACTCTATTTGTGAATATTTACCCAAATCGAAGGCATCTGAAAGATCAAATCCTACAAGAGCAAGACAAAACCAAGACCATTAAATAAGTATTTGCATATACTTCCATGTGCCTAACTCAATCAATACAATTATGAAATAATATAGCAACTAAAATATGTTTGAGCGTAATGTTAAAGGTTACCTGAATCTGGGTTTTTCGGTGGGGCTGGTTTCACTGTTGGCTTCGCAGGGGCTTAAGATCATAATAACATTGTTAATTGTTTGAAACGACAATATAAATAATGATATACTAGAACAATATACACAGAAACAAGGTTGGGAGTATGGTGTTCCACATTTGCTTGCAAACTACTTTATTATATTTAATATTTATTTATTTACATTTAAATACATAACATTAAATATCAAAAAGTAGACCATCAACATAAAGAGAGGACCATACAAATTAAATAGAAAGTGCCCTTTACTTACGCTTGTCATCATCAAAAGCATCAGCGAGGTCAAAATCTGCAAGAAAACAGTTATTTTAATATTTTGCATCTCTCTATTAGTTTCATGGTCAGTTTAATTCCAATCAAAACTCAAGCTTAAATCTAATCTTATTTAACTAAATCAAAACTGTGCATGTTTAGAAAACAGGCATATACAAATATATCCAGTCTGTGTCCAATAAAAACTGTAAAAAACCTTTCCAATAGAGAATGCATCCAACCCCTTCAAAAGCACTCATTGGATTTACTAAGGCCAATATTTCCACTGCAAGCAACTAATTTATGCATATCTAAGCAATACGCAGTCACACTCCAAATACAGCCAATATGTAAAATATTCATTACAATAAACAGCCCATAAATGCCTAATGGAATTTGACTAATTCATTTATGAACTAGTTCATTAGCCATCCAAATTGTTAAATTTGATCAAATGGAAACCAATTAGCCTGATTTGAGCTGCATTATGCAATTTACATGTGGCTCCACACCACAGTACAAAACCCAAATAAAGGATGCAAACCGAACTCAAGTGAAGCGACTCGAATGACACTGAAAGTAATTGTTGTTTTCTTGAAATCATTTCCAAATATAAAGGCTATTAGCATTGCAGCTAATATTAAAGTGATCTAAGTTAGCAACAAGACAGCATCTAGTGCTTTTCCTTTTGCAAAGTTACTACTGCATGACCCCCAAATAGGAAGACTCAACATTAAAACCATCTGTGTCACCAACTCAAAACAAACCAGTCTAGTTCCCAGAGGGTAAAAGTCTTATAGACTAGGCTAAATGATTGGAATTTGACAGTTCGAAAACCCCACCCAGCAATACACTGTATGTATCTATTGTGTGTCGTATTAGATTCACATTGTGACCAAACCCTCCCAACCCTTGAAGTGACAAAGCAAAACTGTATGCAAAATTACTGTTACCATAAAAATATGAAACAAACGTTTTCGGATGTACACTACACACGCGATGTTAAGCGTGCGACTGTGTGCCTGCCACACGAAACACCCTGGCAGAGGCCACATCCTGTGGCTTACGTTGCCAGGGCAATGGACTTTTTTTTCATTATGGTCTACGCAAAACCCATGATGATGACTGGTGGTTGAGTCACAACTGAAACCAGAGCGATTATTTTATCTGGGTGTACGTTTATGCAATTGTCTTGCATTGCATAAAAAATAAATTTGGGAAGAACTACATTTAGAGTTTGGGAAAAGCGAAGATTCAGGCAAACTTGAGTGATGCAAGTATTACTTGTAAAATATTCAAATTAAAATTTGGGTGTGTCTGATTTTGCTTGTGACAAAAATCTGTTCTGGCCTGTACACTATGCCTGTTGTGCTGCTCTCTGAGCATTTCTCAGAAGAAACTAATCTCAGATCGTGCCAAAACATCAATGTCCCATTCAGTACAAAAGAGAGTAGCTGTGGTTTACTTTGAGACTCAATGCAGGAACACAGAAAGTCATGTGATCAAGTTTTTTTTAGCACACTGTTCAAGGCAACTTAACTTAGCTGATAATGCAGAGCAAAATTTGATGTTTTTGAAAAAAACTATTTTTCTGTGACCTTCAAAGTCTAACCTGAGATTTGAGTTGCTTCCCAAGCTAGCAAAGATACCAAATAATAAGAAAGTTGTTATCATTGGTTCTTTAACAATGTTGTGTTCGTGTTTGCCAAAATTATTTATTGTCACTCACTTATATACCTGCAAAAACATTAAATATGAAACAGTGCAACATTATAACATGCCACCCCTGCAACTGCTTGCATCATGCATTGTTCAAGTAAGATTTACAATATTTCAAGTTGAACAAAAGCCTCAAACAACAGGCAAATACAGTGTACTATTTATGGTTTGTTTTATAATTATAATTGGGGAAAATAACTGCTCTGTGAGGCAAAGAGGAACCAATAACAGCAAAATTATGCATATTAACATGTAAAGTCCATATTTTAAGTTGGTAATAAAAGCAAAGGTAGCTGGGAATACGTGGAAGGATCACTAATCTCAGTTTCAACTCTGCTTTATTTGTATGTCATGACTTTTGGTCATGCTTTTAAAAATATCCCTTACCAAAATTAACCATGGTTTTATTGTAGTAAAAGTGTAGTAAGCATGTTTTTTGGGCGTATTGATTACTATTCTTATAACCACAGTTTTACTATAAATACAATGGTTAAACTATTGTTAGTGTAGCAAAACCATGGTTAATATGTGGTTACCATGGTTTTAGTTGTAGTAAAACCATGGTTCATTTTCGTAAGGGATTACGTGATGTTACCAATACCATGGTACAGAAACAAACATTCTTCAACCCATTCTTCCCATATTTTGGTGAGTCATGCAGCTTGCATGTGGAAAGATTTCATTTCAAAGAGTCAAACCAATGCACCAAACCGAAGTTTTTTGGTCATTCAAACATTCAACTTTTTCAGTAATACAAAACGGTAAATAACCAGCATAGTAGGCAAACTATTCAATTAACAACGCTTCAATTACAGCTTATTTACGAACAATTAAAACAAGCGTTGTTATCGTTCATACAGAGCACGGTTAGCAGTGGCAATCGTCAAAAAGTGACTCCTGCGTCTTTGTTGCGTTATTTTGGGCACGATACTTTCCAGTGCTACAAATTACAAGCGCTGTTACCAAAACAAAACGTCAAGTTTAGATAGGAAACCATACCTTGCGCTCTTGTTGCCACAAGGCTTGCCAGAAGAAGTAAAATCCACGTGTATGAAGTCATCATCTTGCTGTGAAAATAAATAAGATTAAAACAAATTTAGAGCAATTTCAATAATTCGCAAAGATATAAGACTTTACGAGCCTTGAAACCAACAACTACAAGTTTCTCTAAGCTAAAGTTGAGCAGTAACTAACTTCAGTTGCCACCCCTCTGAGTGATCCGAGTGTGGCCTAATGCTGTTCCTCAGTTCGGCTGTCTGTATAGTCCAATTATGATCCAAAACAGACTGTGCAGGAAAAAGGCGCGGCTCGCCACGCCCTACCTGCGCTTTTTTGGTGAGTATTAGAACAAGCGTAGTGGCTTATGTAGTGGATGAATTAATAAAAACATTCTTCATATAGGCTATACATAGCAAATGAACGGAAAATATATAACTCTTATATTTGATACACGGTGGACAGAAGATGTCTTAATCTTTAGGTAAAACCAATAATCTGCTGAAGGTGACGTTGTAACAAATTCAGCCTATGTGATTTCTGCCACAGCATTTTGTACAAACAGCGTGTTTACTTGTAAATAGTGCCATTGTGTTTTAAGATTAAGTTTTACGTTGTTGTTGTTTTTTTGCTCAAAAATCACTGAACATGCGCGTGCCACAGTTTTAACAAATTTTAATCACATTTGGCATTAGTGGTGGCAATAGCGCCCCCTTAATCACGTTTGACATTAGTGGTGGCAATGGCGCCCCCTAGCAGACAGCAAATAGACTGGTTTCTTACTCCATCTAGTGTTAATCGAACGCGTTGCAACAATAGAAGCGTCCAAGCAGCTCTACAGGATGAATTTAACTATGGTAAATATTTCTGATCTGACTCACTGAGAATCACCATTATCGGATAGGTTACATGACTTGACTAGCACAGTTGGGATTAAAGTTGAAATAAAACACAACCCATTGTCATCTTTGTCAACGGATCTGGTTAGAATATAATTCAAGGACACCTCATCTGTTGGACAAAAACCCTCAAACTTATTAAGGTTTGCTTTTTTGTTTTTTTTGTTTTTTATAAAAAAAGCACTTTGTAACGCAACCTAATTATGAAGAGCCATTAACACACATTAACATTACTACATCACATTAACATTCTTATCATTTAAGATTTTATTTATTTATTCTATAATTTGAGCAAGCACTATTGGATGATGGGTATCCTGAAGGGACCCGAGTATCGTGCCCCCTTGCGCAAATGGTGTGAGAGATCACCATGAGGCAGCGCTCTTTCGCGTGTCATGTTTTTGAAGATCCCACGCGTTTCACTCTAGGTTCCCCACTCGGCACGCACCAGTGCAGATGCGGACCGGATCGGACGCTGCTGGCGCCTGAACGTGTATCCATCTTCCTTGCGCTCACGGTGTCTGCTTTCTCCAGCTCGCCGGTATCATGCAGTCTTTAATATCCCCAGTCACCAAAGCAATACTGGTTGCACTGTTTATTTTTGCGATCCTGCTCATTTTGTACGTGATATTATGGTATATCTGTCGAGATGTGGATTGTGATCACGGAATTTGATTGACATTATTGGATGCGTCTTTAAGGACATGCACCGGGTGTCCAAGCTTTGGCACTGATCAACAAGGGAGCAAAAGGTGACTCTGGTAAGTTCCCTGTTACTAACCTGATAAACTCCTGGAATGAGAATTAAGAGTGGACAGCACTGATTCGGTATTTTTGTTTTAATATACTGACGTTGATTGGGGGTGTCCTTTTCCACTAACGTGTTGCGCTTCACTGGCTGTCGGTAACCATTGAAAAAAATCTGCTTTCCTCCCACCTGTTAATGTAGACGCATACCAATTCAAATCATTCCACATGTCCGATTTTGAGCTTTTTAAACTAATTTGAATTTGAAATCGGGGACTCAAAAAGGGAACAACACTGCACCTTATTCACGTTTAAATTAAATTCAGTGGACTTTTTTCTGCCATTAATGATAAAAGAACTTGTTTGCTCATTAAGTTTATATGCAAGTACTGTATCACATTTCATAAATTAAATTCTTACCTTCCCAAATAGACAACAGAGAGCAAAAACGCTATATGAGCGAAAATGAACAATAAAAGTTGAGATATGATATCGAGGGCTGTCAGTGGTTTTTAAGCATGGAATCATCTGAGTGCCGCCTGCTTATGGTGTACAGTTTATGGATGTCTCATTTTTTTGCTGTCAGATACACTAAAGCAAATATCTTATACCAGTTAATCGCACTGGAAGTTTATGGAAACCTATGACAAGCTTATTTAACATGTATTCAATAAAACCATATTTTGTTATTATTATTATTATTATTATTATTATTTATTTATTTATTTGGTTCAGGCTGTATGTATAATTAGTAACGAGTAATCCAATATTAACAAGTGCATTTTTCAATTTCCACTATTCAATGGATAGTATTTATATTCCATATTACAGCAGTCACTAAGGCTGTCTATTCAATTAGTACTTGTACTAGTACTTATCCCATTGCTTAACAGTTACAGTCAATATTCCATTGTTAGTGGCAACAAATTGAATGCATTTTTTCCCAATAATTTATTTGTATCTTTTATCAACTATTCACAGATTATTGTATTTCAGTTGTTTCAGATAGTACAGGATTGTCCAATCCTGCAGTCCCACCGTCCTGCAGAGTTTAGCTCAAGCTTGTCCCAGTTTACCTACTTGGATGATTTTACTAATCCTGAAGACAGGTGATTACTTCAGTTCAGATGAGTTTGATTGGAATTAGAGCTAAACTTCAATCCCTCCAAACCCAGGATTTCTGGAACTAGTAACTCTCAGTAGTTAATATCCTTTTAAGAGCTTATTTATAATTGGATACTCGTACCTATATGTCACCAGGTAACATTTATCTCAAGCTAGAATTGATTTTATATATGTAGCTAGTCAGAAAGGCCAATTTTAGTTCAGTTATTAGTAATATTGAATATATGATGAAAATACAGAAACGTAAAAATAGATAGGCAATAGCCTAGTTGGGTTTATGCGATAAACGGCTTGCCATAGAAACCTGTGGTTCGCCTGTTGTGCGCTTAAGATGTGAGAGCGTTTGGAATTTGGTTCATGCTTTCAGACATTCGTTATGGAGAGATTCAGTGAGAACTCATTGCTACAGCTTCATGTCTTTATATTTGTTCTTTTTGTTTTAATTCACCAATGTATAGCCTATAGATGGTCCATAGTCGGCAAAGCTTTGATTATGCATTATCGTTTCAATTTTTTATATATATATTTATCTATTTCTTCTTTTGCAAAACGGCTACAATTTCATGCCACGAGCATTGTGACTCACCGATTAAATACTCCGCTCTGAACGTGAGAGGAATCTCAAGTGTCAGCACAGTCACCATAGCGCATCATGAGCGTGTCCAGCTGCCAAATTGCCCTCGAACCTGGGCCACCTATGCAAGTGAGCTTGAGAAAGAACCACTAGACCCAGATCAGTGACAATGAAGTGCTATACCGACAGAACCCAATGAAGCGCTTACATTTCCTATCTGAAGGACAAGTAGAGGGCAGATAGGTTGTAGTTAACCCAGATTTCATTGTGCTTGTTGAAGACGTCTTATTCCTCGGCTGAATATAAAATCATTAGAGTTGAATAAAAAAAAACGTATAATGATAATAAAAACAATTTGATATGTAATGTTTCTAGGTGTATATTATTTATGTGTTTGTGCAAGAGAGAGATAATAGAATGATGTAAAGTCTTTAACTAAACTTGTATATTGGCATGCATATTGATGTGTGTGTGTCTGTGTGTGTGTATGTCTATCAGTAATTAGAAAGCAATCCTGCCCCTTGTCAGTGGAAATTAATATTAGTTAGTTCAGTCCCAACTGATGGCCTATAAAAAGGTGTTTCATGACCAACGTGTCACACAAGAAACATTTCATGATGGGTAAAAGCAAAGAGCTTTCTCAAGACCTTTGCAACCTTATTGTTGCAAAACATACTGATGGCATTGGTTACAGAAATATTTCGATACTTCTGAATGTTCCAGTGAGCACTGTTGAGGCCGTAATCCGAAAGTAGAAAGGACATAATTTCACCATAAACCGGCCACGACCAGGTGCTCCTTGCAAGATTTCTGACAGAGGAGTGAAAATAACTTGGATGCCATAATACACACCATGTTTGGAGGTGAAATGGCACTGTACATCACCCCAAAACATCAAGGTGTAGCACTGGCAAAATTCATATAATTGAAGGAAGGATGAATGGAAAAAAGTACAGACACATTCTTGATAAAAATCTGCTGCCATCTACCAGGATGATGAAGATGAAACAAGGGTGGACATTCCAGCGAGACAATGATCCCAAACACACAGCCAAGGAAACTCTAATTTGGTTTCAGAGAAAGAAAGTAAAGGCTTGTTCACACCGGGACGAATATCGCACGCGATTATCGCGACGTTTAACGCCTCGTGACTAAACAAAGGGCGCCAATGTGAGTGTGCACACCGACGTGCAAAACGCGAGGCGTAAAAGGGTAATTTTTTAAAAACCGCCTCGGGCTCGTTTTTTTGGTTTGACGGGCTGCGTTAAAAACTGGCCGAACAATGAGATTGGCGCTTTTGTTCACGTGCCTAGATTCAATTCAATTCAATTCAAGTTTATTTGTACAGCGCTTTTCACGATACAAATCATTGCAAAGCAACTTTACAGCAAATTACGTTTCTACAATATTTAGCTTATCAGTGGTGACTGTCAGTCAATGTACATATGGCAGAAATGTACGGAAAAATCAATTAAAGACGTAATCAAACAGACGATGAACACTATTAACAGCAATTATTATATGATGCAATCAAACTTATAGCAAAATGTGGTAGTTCTGTATGTTGTTGTATGACAAACGCGACAGGGACTACAAAAATCTCCATAAAAGGGAGTTGTTATGGAGAGGAATTGCTGATCAAATAGGATTCGATGTGTACCGGGGTATTTCTGTTTTTCATTAAGCGCCATCTAATATCAGGGAATGAATTTGCACGTTCACTCAACTCATCGCCAGCGAAAATCGCTTGGGTATGAACACAAAAGACGCGTCGAAAAACGTTGGCGATAAGCACGCGCAATAATCGTCCCGGTGTGTACGAGGCTTTAAGCTGCTAGAATGGCCCAGCCAATCACCTGACTTGAATCCAATAGAAAATCTATTACACCGTGTCTACACCGAACGCAACAGTTGTCGCACCGCAACAGCTAAAGTTACGGCATGTTCA